GGGGATGAAATGTGAAAAGGCGAGGGAGGCAGCGACCTCGGCAGCCATGTTCATTAAGTGGTGTTGGCGAAACGGGTCAACATTGTCTCGAATGTCCGTCAGTTATTTGGGTATTTTGCTCAGCCAACACATTGTTTCTCCCATTCCTACACACGAGTACAAGGAATAGATCGAGTCGCGTTGGTGAACCCGAAGGCAGTTGCTTCATGACTTTTCCATCTGTGTTCAAAAGTATTTACCATTATCTTTCACAATGCAGTTGTCACTCATGACCTAAGTTATCAACAACGCTCCACCTCAACTAATTCCACATTAATCGCACAAGTTTCCAGCCAGTCACAGCTGAGGCGGTTTTTTCTCCTACATCCCATCCTTACTAAATCATTCCCTCCTCACATGCCTCAACCGTAAACTCGTCAGCTATTACCTCAACTCGACATTCCGTGCGCAAACCCACGTGGACCCACTCCAATTCATCTGCTGGGTACTAGTATGCTTTGCAAAAGTAACGGAGGTAATAGTGTGCCGATTCTTGGACCGACCTTTCTGGCTACCACGATTGCAACTTCTCGCCAACTGAAAACTGCCTGAAAATCACAACCGTGTCGGAGACCATGTGATTCAGCAACACAATCCCTACAAAGCAACTTCTCCGTCTACCGTCAGGCAATATCGTTCCATTTCACACTTGGCACGAACTCTAGCAGCACTTGGTAACCGACAACTTGAAAAGCCAAGACATCTCCTGAGAGTGAGGCGATTTTGTAGCTAAATTCACATTCGCCCTTTAAAATGCATGACAACGACGCTTGCAACTACAGTAGATACCTGTCACAAGATCCTACTTGCCACAAAAGCTTTTGGTGTACTGAGGTGGTGAGGGAGGCGTCCAAACACGCTTTTGCTCTTCATGATGAAGCAATCAGTAGATTTCAATCAGGCAGCGATACCTCCAGAGTACAGAACAAGAAATGGCCTCTCAAATTGATTCGATTCATAATTTGTTTGTTCTTTTAATAACTCTGCCACCACGGAAGTGATTCCCGGAGAAAAATCACAAGCAGTGTTACATTCATCCCACTTTCAGCATACACTCCACACAATAACGAAGAACGTCCTCGTTCCTCACTGCTGGTACTAGTTACAGATGAGGCGAAAAGGCGAATGAAAAACCGGTCCTACAACGATTAATGTTTCAGCTTATCTCTGTGCTGTCGTATTTCCTCAACAATGGTGGAAGACGAACACACTTTTCTACATCAAAGGAGGAATTGCATTTGAATGTTCAGAGCAAAAGATGTTCGCATGACTAAGCGTTTGATAGGCCTGCTCTGTCGTCTTTACTCGCAAAGACGATAAGTGAAGCTACAAACAATACAGCGCCAAATCTAAACTCAAAGCATCCAGTTCACTTCCATGAAAGGCAATTTCTGCGCATGATCCACTCTACGTCCAGTGCGTCGCACCAATCCCACCTGTTCCAAGTCAGCCACGGCTCGAAGGAAACGCGACCTAGGACAGACACAAAAAGGCGTTTAAATGTCCTGTCTCCCCTTTTCTGCTGAAATTGAGACAAGACATTTCAGAACGTAGAAACAACTTGCACTACTGAATTAGAATTTAACACTTGAAGAGGAGGCAGTATCCATCCGGTTAAAGACGACTCAGTGGTGCTGAAATTACTGGATAAGCTGACTGGGATTCGCGTCCGCGCTCGCTGAAGACGGTTCCACAATAGTCGCGAAAGACTATAAAAATGAAGAGTACATCCTATATTACTCAATTGTCTCTAGCCACGCCAACAAAATGGGCACATGTGTGCCTTTGCGTAGCAATGAGCCAGAGGGGAAAGAAGAGAAAGTCATGTCAAGAGCCTATCCCCAGACGAAATCAACCACAGAGAAGGAGAGGTGCACTGATTATTCAAGAGGAGACTTAGCCCTCTGGAGATCAGAGATGAGCATGTGCTTGTGTGCTGCCCATTCTATGATGGAAAAGGGTGTTACCATCACCACAACCACCACCATTTGCTTATTTATCAACCCATTCAGGAACCAGTGAAGGGAACTTACAATGAGCCAATCGTGAATATTTATCAAAGAGCCACTCTCCATGTAGATTTTGTAAACAATGCACACATCCGGCACAGGAGGTTGGGGACCATTCACTTCCTAAAAAGAAATGGAGTGAGAAGGTTGACTGGAAAACGCTGATAACTGGCAAATTACATGACCCGCCTGCAAATACCCCGACATAAGGCATTTGAACAAAGTTGCAGAGGTAAAGCACCACAATGTGCTGCAGAAATCCGACTTTTGTGAGTACAACGCACGTTCTGGTCCAACGGCGGATTCAAAATTCACTCAAGTAGGTGAAAAGCCAATTTTAAGCAGTGCTAACTGCATTCGGTAAAAATGCTGCCTGTGCGACTGAACCTTCCTGTGACGGCCTACTTCACTTCGTCTGCAACAGAAGGTGCAACGATGTCATCAAGTCCAGCCTGCGCCAACTGTGCCACATTGCAACTGCTCGCACTCACCAATGACCGCTGTGTTTACCACTCCCACGAAAAGACATCTCGTGCAATTCCCAACGCCCCATGCATTAATTGAGTGTTCACAAGAATGAATGCCGAGACTGTGGCTTGCGAACAAAACCAATGCGCAAAAGAGCCATCATTGACATGAGGACGTAAAATCGTTCTTTCAAAACTCTGAGTCGCATTCCAACATCGCACTACGCCTGAAGGTCCAATCGCCACAATGTATCGACACCAAGGTCTTGCGCAAGAGTGGTTATTTGTGCACTTCGTTGAAAACAGAATCGTCCATCACGACTCGCTGTTTCATCCACATATTCACCACTCCTCCTGGCTGCCCACCACACAGGTGCCACTGACCACTGAGTACTGGAACACCACGGTAGTCATCCTTTTATCCATGAGATAAAAAGCTCACGTTTGGCTCGGATGTCGCTGCAGTGCAAAGTTTTGGGAGGCAATATCCGCCAGTTCATATTCCGATTACTGTGAAGACGAAGGAGCAATAGTGTTAGAGGCGCGTGTTTTGGTCTGCAATTTACCATTACTTTCAGCGTGGAATCAATTCAACAGTCCAGGCAACTCCTCACACCCGTAAACGAAAAGTTTGAAGACATGTTGGAGACTTCAGGATGAACTTGATGAAGTGGCTGTTTAAGTTTGAAACACAATCTAGGAACGGAGCACAATTACTCTTCTCACATCCAGATGCCGTAGTAACTTTGACTTGGGAAAAACAACACACTCCCTGTTGTGTAGATCACATCTTGAGCAAACAGCCTTCAACAAGAGTGCTGTGCCTCTTTAGGCACCAACTTACAGGAAGAAAGTCGTCGGGATTGCAGAGCGCATGGTGGACAGCCCCAATCAGAGGCGCGTCGACATTTCGCTTGAGGTCCATCATCTCCGCCTCTTGACTTGTTGGCCCGTAAAAGACCTCATTGAAAGGCAGATTGTGAGGTGCCGGCACGAGACTGAGAGCGTTATCACTATCGGGTGAAAGAACGGCGAATAGCCATTGCTCAAATTCTTCCATCGTTTGTTTCCACAGTGACGACGTCGAGGATGCCGCCGATGAGGATCTAGACCTGAGTAGTTCCTACATAGAGCACAAAAATAATAACTAGTGGCAAAAATCGCACTGAAATGACATCAAAATTTCACTGGTAAGAAAGGGTAATTTACGCTTCACAGCCGCAGTTAAAACAGCGCTTCATCTAGTTAACTCGAGTTGGACCCTAGGTCAACAGCATCACTGATTCAGCGGATTCCACACCGGAAAGAAACGTTGAAAGGGCACACATTCAACTGATTGAACTATCATACAAATGCAGCCTCCTTCGACTTACTGACTGTCGATACGCATTACACACGTCAAACTAACGGATCGGCTAGTTTCTAAAATTATCCTCATACCTCCACCTCGTTAGTGCAATTATAGTTACCGAAATGAGCAAAAAGGTTCCCACCTGGTAGACAATAAAGCAACAAGTAGAATCAGTCCACCTTACCACCTAGCACCGCAAACACGTCGCTACGGTGCGGCTCACGATGGATCACGCATAGCCTCACCAGTTATTACTACTGTCAACTGTCGAGAACTGATAAGCACGAGAATAGCGATTTACAGTGAGTGATTTGCAGCCACGGCGTGGGATCCCACCAAGCTATGTTTAATAATGCAACACAAATGCGAGATTAGAAATGAAGTTCGACAGTCCAGCCCTACGCGGAGTAGAAATATAGACGGGAAAGCCATGCGAATACGACAACAAATTAATAATTATGAAGAGAGTTCACATTTCGCACAGTGGTGTTTGCAATTGAAAACTCGAAAGCTAAATTGCTTACTTTGACCGAAGAAGAAGTAAAGCCACTCGGTGACACTGAGCACACACCTCGCGCAATTCTAGAAGGGTTAGCCGCTTGGAGAGCTCCAAGGTGGCACACTCCGCCTTGGCACTACTGCATTGTGAATCCGCTGTTTTAGCCGACATCTGTGATTCAACTGAAACGGAATAAAAAACACCAGATTAGCTCGAATTACGGCATTACGCAGACAGCACCAGTTCCAAAAAAGTGTCGCAGGAATTAAACATTGGATAGACTGCATGCATTGCAAAATAAGTAGTCTATTGAGTACGAGACAATGCTAACAAAGATCACACTACCGAACTTCCTTCAACCGAAAATGAAAATCACAGGTGTAGGCAGCAATTCTGTTTCATAAATGTAATCACACTTTTGAAGCAAAGAACTGAATTAGCACTTATTCACACAAGCAGAAAGCGGGAGCAATCACAGACTATCCTGTCCATCCGATGATGACACTTCATAAAAAATAGAAATCCAACAAGAATTTTCCCTACAAGGTTAAGAATAGGCAGAAACAAAGAGGGGAAAGCTCCTTTTTAAATGATCAACCAATCCATCCATTTACAGAAATGGATGATGGATCACGTGCGTCAACTTCGGAGCTAACTCAACCCACTTACCACCAGCCACCTTATTTCAGAAGAACAAATTGAGGAAGAGGGGACAGCGGGCAAAGGTGCACTCCTTAAGTCAAACAATCAGCCTCACGGCAATCTTCCCTCCCGGTGGATGGCAATTACATGAAACAAAGAGCATTGAGAATAAACACAAGTCCTACAGGAGTTAAATGACGAAAGATACCAGCATCAAAAGCAACGCCTCAGAGCTCATGGAAATAATGGCGAGTGTGAACGAAGTAACAAGATAACAAGCAAGTTAAGCGCGCCATTGTAACACCAGACAAACTCTCGTCTCAACGCAAACGGGTCTCCATGCAATGATACTGCTGACCGAAGTTTGACAAACGCTTTCGCCCCTTCTCCCTGCCTACCTGTCTATCTTGACGTGTCAGTCTACTTGACAAACAGCACCACCACATCTAGCTGAACCCGATCAGATTTCGGGAAGATGGCAACGATCCAACCACCTGATATCCTCTTCCTCACATAAATTGGACTAGAACAATAACACCAGATGGGGAAGCCTCCTCAAATTCATTGATAATCAACACAGAAATACAATGTTAGAAGGCGATACTACGACCGTTAGGAATTCCAGCTCTGCACCCAATTCCTCCAACTGCGCTACACATATGCGGAGGTGAAGTGGTCCTCACAACCACTGCTTTAACTAAATCGTGGCTATCAGATAGACAACCTAATATATCAGTCATGCGGAAGGCAAAATTTGCGTAACATTAGACGCAGACATCTCCCATTGCAAGAATGATTGTGAACAACATCGACGAATTCGCACAAGTCGAATGACAGTAACAGTAAATAATAAAACTCCCACATTCGCATACTTTCAGCTTTGTAATGTGGAAAAGTCGGCCCAGGCTGGACTTCGAAACAGCTTTGCACGTTCTGTTGAAGCGAAGTGGGCCGTCCTGAAAAGGTCCAGCAGCACTGGCAAAACTCACAACAAATGCAGTTAGTACTGCTCAACATTTATCCTTTGCCTTAATGTTTCTCAAACATTCTGTCAAATAACCAAACGTTTTTCGCTTTGGAAATTCCGGTTAAACAGCATCTGATCTCAGGGTAACCGGTGCGTGATTGTTGGATAAAATATCCCATCGAGTAAAACCGCTCCCTCCCACGAGTTAACTGAGCACGAAAGAAGCAGTCTCACAAATTCAGGGAAGATGAGGAGGAGGATGAAAAGGGGAGGGGAGAACAATTCGCCTTGGAATTTTGTCACTCCAGCAACCACAAATGTTACGCCAAACTTGCTTGACATGGAAGAGAATTCCAAAACCAACGTCGAGAGCACACACACACAAAAGGGAAGTGGGGTGAGTTTGGGCAACCATCAACGGTGGCTGCAGTCAAAGCTTCACCATCATAAATAAACAAAGTCGCGGTGGTACTGACGATGATAACGCAATTGAGTTTGTTTCAATTACTCCTGGAGGAGAACACATCAAATTTGTTTTTGTGAACCAATTTGTCCATACGATCAATGTCAACCGTGAATCTTAACTGAAGTACACTGACCTTTCAAGAACAAACAGAAGCTTCCAACTGTACACGAATAAGAGGATATTTTACTGTGGCAACGTCACGCACCGTAGTAAGTGCCGAGTGTGGTCTATTACATGGGCTAATGGCTGGCCAGGCCAGCAGGGATACTATTAACTAATAGGGTGATGACAACAACCATGAAAACGACATTAACTGGAGAAAATTAAGGGAATGTTCAAGACATGTGGCAGTATTCGTTACTAGAGCTGCTAGTAAGTATTTTGGAAAACACGAAGTCAACAACTCACAAGCAGTTGCAAAACGACCCCGTCACTTGCAGACAGCATTTCTGAGTTCTGTAAGCACGCAAATGGCCTGCAGAAGGCAAGGCATCCAGCGCCGATCATTCAAAGGAAATTCACCTCCTGAAACGCCCCCCTCCCCCCCCCCCACAACG